TATATATATGCAGTATATAGTATATACAGTCAAATCTGGGCCTGTGTTTTTCAGACTTACAAGAAGGATTTATAAGAAAATGTCCCAAAAATAAGCCAAGTTCTACTTAAAAAGAAAGGTAGATAAAGAGTTAATCTGTAAAGAGATAGTTCAGATATTTTGAGTTGGGGTTCTGTGGAAAAAAATAAAAATGATTATCTTGCCCGTTGCAAATAACTCTTTAAACAACCTCAGTTTGGAGTAAAGTTGAGAACAATTTTATGGTCATTTTTTTTCTATTACAATAAACAACTTGACAAATTATTGCAATACTTTGAGTTTTCTAAATATGAAAAAAAAATGTACCTGGAAAGAATACATTCCACCTGTTCAGTCATACAAAGTAAAGTCAACCAAATTTAGATTTTTGTTTGTTTGTTTGTATGTTTGATAGAATGATGTTACATAAGATTAAAAAGGGACTATGGGGTACCAGGCCCTTTGATATGGGCTGTTAGGTCCCTGTTCGACTGGTACCAGAGCTTGGTCCGCATTGCTGGTAGTAAGTCGGACTCGTTTCCGGGGAGAGTTGGACTCCGCCAAGGYTGCCCTTTGTCACCGATTCTGTTCATAACTTTTATGGACAGAATTTCTAGGTGCAGCCGAGGTGTTGAGGGGATCCTTTTTGGTGACCTTAGGATCACATCTCTGCTTTTTGTGGATGATGTGGTCTTATTGGTTTCATCAGATCCTGATCTCCAGCTCTCACTGGAGCAGTTCACAGCCGATTGTGAAGCGGCCGGGATGAGGCTCAGTGCCTCCAAATCCAAGACCATGGTCTTGAGCTGGAAACCGGTAGAGTGCCGCCTCCGGGTCAAGAAGGAGGTTCTGCCCCAAGTGGAGGAGTTGAAGTATCTCAGGGTCTTGTTCACGAATGAGTTAAGAATGGAGCGTGAGATCGACAGGTGGATTGGTGCTGCGTCTGCAGTGATGCGGGTGTTGTACCGGTCTGTCGTGGTGAAGCGAGAGCTGAGTCAGAAGGCAAAGCTCTCAGTTTACCAGTCGGTCTACATTCCTACCCTCATCTATGGTCACAAGCTTTGAGTAGTGACCGAAAGAACGAGATCGCAGATACAAGCGGTCGAAATGAGTTTCCTCTGCAGGGTGTCTGAGCTCTCGCTTAGAGATAGGGTGAGAAGCTCGGTCATCCAGGAGGGACTCAGAGTAGAGCCGCTGCTCCTCCACGTCGAGAGGAGCCAGTTGAGGTGGCTCATCTAGTTAGGATGCCTCCTGGACGCCTCCCTGGTGAGGTATTCTGCTGGGAGGAGACCCACAGGAAGACCCAGGACACGCTGGAGGGACTGTGTCTCTCAGCTGGTCTGGGAACACCTTGGGATTCCCCCAGATGAGCTGGTCCAAGTGGCTGGGAAGAGGGAAGTCTGGGTCTCTCTGCTTAGGCTGCTGCCCCCCGAGACCCGATTCCGGATAAGTGGAAGAAAATGGACAGATGGACGGACAACTGAAATAATGTGTCATTGGGAAAAAAAAAAACATAATTTCTCCCTCAGCCGTCTGAGTGTAGAATATGTTGTGCATTACTAAGGGCAGCCCAGTTACAGGGCATATAGAGCAGGACAGCCGAGGCTACCACAGGGGTAGGCAATCCTGGCCCTCAGGGGCCGCCCGCAGCCCCTTGCATGTTTTACTGTTTTCCCTGCTCCATCACACCTGATTCAGTCATATTCCATAGTCACAGCCCAAGTCTTGCAGAAGCCTGTTATCACCCATGTAGGGCTGTCACAAACGATTTATTTTTACAATCGATTAATCACCGATTATTTATTCGATTAGTCGACTAATC